ATCAGGCCGGCCGGTTAATGGTGAGGGCTCAAAGGGTTCAAGAAAGTTTGATCATCATTCATCATCTCACACACAGCGGAAGTAGAGCAGCTCAGCATCCCACTTGCTATTATACAATTGCCAGTCATTTTTTTAAAAAAGTCTCTCGCTATCGGTAAGGTAAGAATGTTTGTTACTCACTTGTTTCATATCCTCAGTATATCAAGGTTTTGTTATGTGCACGAAAAATCCAATTATTGGGACAGTTTCACATTAGCACATGACATAAGGTTGATCTATGTAAGCACTATTTTTTGTCGAATTTATCCCCCCATTTTCTCAAAACAGCAAAACAAAAACCTAAAAAAATAACAAGCAATTGTATAATGAATGCGTGGAAATTAATGAAGCTTCATTTTGATACAAAACTGTTTGTCCATTCATCCAGGAGTGACCACAAAGAACAGTTCTTCGATGCTCAAACATCACAGACATTCTTCAGCCAACAAGTAAAACAGCTGGACATCTCCAAGTGTGAATCAACAAGAGGCACAACAAGAACACGGGTCAGAACTGTTGACTTTGCTCAACACTTTACAGTCACACAGCCAGCAGAACAAAATACCCCATCTGGTCACCCAGCCAGGAGAGTGACTGCAACGAACTTCTCAGGCCTGGCGCAGAACTGCGTCAAGTGACCAGAACGGATAATTTTTACCTTCGCATTATTGCACCAAGTGAGCGCACAGTGTTACCACTTACAGTACTAAAGTCTCAACTAGTGAAAAACCCTCCAGTACCACACCAGTTTGGAATGCTGAAGCCATGGTAGTAGTTTTTTTTAAACTAAAAAAACCCTTCACAGCCGAAGAAACACTTTTAGAAATTCCCAGAGGCTCATCAACCTTTTGAGCTATCATATAGAGTGACTGTCTTTGGTATTTACTTCAGCGCAGTGGGTCCATTCGTTATAAATTAATTATATTTAGTGCGCATGGTCGAGTTGGTAACAAAACTCGCCAGCTGTAATGAGCTCATACTATGGCCGGGTGACTAAAGTCGCTGACGGTACTGTAAGTGGTAAGCAGCTAATCACATTTCACAAGTCACAGCCATTTCTACAACGCAGCAATGAGGTCAAATAAGACAAACTGCAGGAAACATCTTCACACTAATTTCATTCACTAAATTTACGTAATCTAAAAATCATAATTAATTTTCAATTTAAATCTAAAAGACACAATTAGATCTATAATCTAAAAGACACAATTAGATCTATAATCTAAAAGACACAATTAGATCTATAATCTAAAAGACACAATTAGATCTATAATCTAAAAGACACAATTAGATCTATAATCTAAAAGACACAATTAGATCTATAATCTAAAAGACACAATTAGATCTATAATCTAAAAGACACAATTAGATCTATAATCTAAAAGACACAATTAGATCTATAATCTAAAAGACACAATTAGATCTATAATCTAAAAGACACAATTAGATCTATAATCTAAAAGACACAATTAGATCTATAATCTAAAAGACACAATTAGATCTATAATCTAAAAGACACAATTAGATCTATAATCTAAAAGACACAATTAGATCTATAATCTACAACCCTAGGAAAACACATAATAAACAACAACAAAATAGAAACAAAATTATCGTAGCTTGCTGTTTCTCTTTCACAAAGCAACCACTTCACTAACTCCCGAGCACACATTCACACACAGAACGTCGTGAGCTACGGATGGAAGACGGGCATAAATCTCTCCACAGCCGAGCGACAGACCGGACATTTCTTTGGAAAAGGCAACGCTTCGGCGCAATCGGCACACAGGGCAATATGGCCGCAGTTGAGGAGAATGACCTCCCTGGGATTGGTCAGACACACGACACATGTGTCCTCATCGTGAACGCCACTCCCCCCCTCCCGCCGCCCCTCCGCGCTGTTGTCCCTGCGCACGGTTCGTCGAATCTCCTCAAACTCTCGCCGCCTCCTCCTCCTCTCCAGCCAGAGCCGCAGATGTCTCCAGATTAGGTAGGCCAGTACGCTCCCGCCGCACAGGGCAGAGACGACCGCCATCACTTTGAAAGTCCACGACTGAGACTCGTAGCTCCGCACCAGTTCCGACAGTCGCATTTTGGTCAAGATGAACGTCTGGCTGGAGTCGTCGGGGGGACCTAACTTCATCTCTCCCCGCTCCAGGAATATCCTCCCCACCCCGAGCAGCGTGGTTCCGCTCAACAACATCTTCTCCGTCTCCTGGATGCCTTTGGTGACTTCACCGAGTAGACGATCCAGTCCCGCCTGGGAGGGACGGGAAATTGGTTTTTTTGTTTTAGTTTTAGTAAGAGTTTTACGACACTTGCAACACAATAAGGTCATATAAGTGCCGAAGATTAGAGGTGTTACAAGAGAGTAACAAACACAAAAAAAAAAGGAGGGGAGATAAAGACGATAGATGTTTGATAGGAAAGAAGGAACAAACCACACCCGCCAACCACCCACAGAAATTGTATTGTTAGTTCAGAGAAGCCCAAAATCACAATTGCGGTCATATTTATGGCTAGGAATAAGCGAGACAAACAGGCAGAGGCAAAAGACTGTGAGAAAACAAGGAGGACCTACCAATGTAGCCTTCCAACAACTACTGGGAGGAAAAGAAATTAGCAAAAGAAATGTCAAGCTATAGATCATGGCAGACGGCACAAATGTCAATGCAAATATTTTGAAAAGAGAGATAAATGGGCGAAAAAAATAAGTATTATAGCCCCATATCTTTGTGCATGACAAAACTCAAGACTTGCTGTTTCCCGTTCCATTCTGACAAAGCTGCAAACCCACTGTGATGTTGGATGTTACACCCAAGGTGAAGTAGTTCAAAACGGGGGCCTGGACTTTACTTTTAAGGGGAGGAGCGACCCTTGTTTTTGTAGATTCTGGGTCAGGCTTTGCATATTGAAATGTTCACTGACTTTTTAAGATCAACCAGTTCTTTGTCTAAAAATAGCATAGAGACAATTGAAAAAGTCTTTACTCTCCTCGTAAATCGCCTTTGAAAACATGAGGATGGGTTAATATATTGAATTTTCCCAATAATTGTCGTTTTTCGCAAAATGTCATTTTGTTGCAGCTTGTTCCCTACTCTGTCTTTCGTTTCCATCCTTTTCACATGAAACTTTCAGGAAACATAGACGGCAAGGCTGCCATCAATGTAACAGAGAGATATTTGCGGATCACTTTTCCATTGGCAAGCGATTATGCAACCTAAATTTAGAAAAGTTTTTTATACATTGGGAAAATTCTCATATTTTTGAGACAGTTGAGCCTGTTACCTGTATCAACGTGGACTTGTGCGGCTCAAACCTGTCGTACGTGATGTCCAGCTCAGTCTCCAGGTGAGACGCCCGGCCCGGTTCCACAACCTCCAGGCGGAACGCAGGATCCCCGCCCTGAGGCTTGACCAGGGAGAAAGGAACAAACTGGGTGGTGTCCCTTAGCTCTTTCTTTGTGTCTGACCTGATCGGGAAAATAGGAGGGTCAGTTGCACTCTCTGTAATTGTATTTTATGGCACTTATGTATAGATTGTGAAGCGCATTGAGCTTGCTGTTGAGCAGGGATTTGCACTATATCTATTATTATCATTGACTGCACTGCACGTACCATAAAACTCTTACAAAAATTAAAACCTCTCTGTATTAATCATCATGATCAGTTTATACCCTCATCTAAACAATCTGGATAATCTAAGAGGTGAACTGCCTCAATGCTGTGTGTCAGGGCAATCAAAGGTTGAGATGGATTTTACATTTTTTTTAAATATTTTTTTTTTAGTAGAGGTTTTCAAGCAGACAGATATATACATTTACATAATATATAACAATATACTTGATTGAAAAAAAAGCTACCCTATTAGAGAAATCAATTCAGGTCATCTGAATGTGACAGCATTGAGCTCAACCATAACGCCAGAAGCTCCAGTGTAAAGAAAGGAAAAGGAGAGAAGTGTGCTCACCAAAAGCCGTTGACCTTCTTGGACCGGTGCTCAATGAGCTGCGACTTCATCATAACCCCCTCCTCCTGCCCGTGCAGACTGTGTAACGTGCGCCCCATCTCCTTCACCGTCCCCTCCACCGCAGCATACGCCAGACAGTGCTCGTCCACCGCACTCAGGTGGTCAAACAGGTCAAGGTCAGCCTGCCATATTTTGATGTTCTGGGGAAGAAATATCAAGCAAATAACTGACACTTAACCGACAAGAAAAGCGCAAAGGACGGACACAAAATGACTAACATCGATCAACAACACAAGAGAAACTGTATGACTGACAAAAATAGCATCTACATTATCCTTCACTCGACATAGCAATGTGGGATTTGTATTTTATCATTGTGATGAAGAAGGATTTCTTTTTAACACTTAGAGTACCTTTAGCAACTTTAGTCGCCAGGCCGTAGTACGCGCTCACTACCGCTGGTGACTTTAATCGCCAACGCAACCAGGTACACTAAACATTATTAAACAACAAACAGACCCACTGCACTGAAGTAAACACCAAAGGAAGTCACTCTATATATATGATAGCTGAACGGTTAATGAACCTCTATGATATTTTAAAGTGTGTTCCTTGGGCTTCCAAGGTTTTTCTTATTGTAAAAGATTCTACCACGGCTTCAGCGATCTAAACTGGTGTGATACTTGAGGGATTTTCACCATATGAGCCTTCAGTACTGTAAGTGTTAAGGAGCTCAGTCAAAACCAATTTTGTTAACTCACACTGCTGAAATAACAACCCCCCAAAAAAACCCAACAAAGGGCGTCTTGAGGCTAGTATACCTGAAGCCAGAAGGTAAAGTATGAAAGTGAAGAGCATTGTCAATTGGAACCATGTTCCACGTGCAAACAAGAGTAATCAAGGGATCATAATATATGTTTTATAATTTTATATATAGTCTAAAAAGATGAAAGCATTGCCATCATTACATAGTAGGCCGACTTGGGTTTGGGTGATGGGAACTTGGGGTAGGACCAAGCTAAAGCTGTTTCAGTATGGGCATTGGGAAAAGGTTAAAAGCAAACTTTCTTATCTCTGATTCTTTAATATATAATGAAATCTGTCTGGCTGACTGACACCATACCAGTTGTCAGTTGAGTACACCGACTCCGAGCCATCCTTCAGAAACTTCAAATTGCAGCTCTCCTGCAGCTTATTTCATTTTTTATATTATATTGAAAGTGGCTATTCTCACCCGCCCGGAAGTTCTCGCAAGATCAACTCCTCCCCTCTTCTCTCTCTCTCTGTCTCTTTCTGAATACTGTCTATCGGTGTGGACGATCAAATTGACCAAAACAAAGTTAAAAAATGATGTTAAAACACAAAAGTAAATTAATTTGGTTGTCTACAAAGATGCTACGGCTATTTAACTTTTCGAATCGAGCCGAACTACGCGGGTCGCCATTTTGTTTTGCCCGGAAATTCTCGCGCTACTCCTCTCTCTCTTTCTCTCTCTCTCTCCACTGCCCACAGACAAAATTGTACGCTTTTAGTAGGCTACAGTTGTAATGGAACGTTTGTTCTCGGCACAGAATTCTACAATTTTTCTGTTATCACAGTGTAGAATTCTGTGGTTTAGGGTGAATGCAAAATTTGGTGAACGCGCACCGGGTGAGAATAGCCACAAGACTCGCCTGCACTATTCTCACTCCGGGTGAGAATAGAGGTGGCCATTATATTTATATTACCCTATGAAGGTGATAGACAGAAAATGTATCCATTTAAGAAGCAGATAGCTCGCAGGAAACCAGTAAACACCCACAGTTCATCCAACTTAAGTTTGAAATTGGCTAAGGCTCGAGCCATCCATTTCAATAATAATTTCATCATCCGATCATCATGACCAAGAACGAATGCCGAAAGGGCACGGAAGTTGCCGGTACTGTTGTGGTGCATTGTGAATGTGAGTTTCTTTGAAAAAGCTATAGTGTCTCACATCTGACTTACCCGTACGCGCGAAGCAGTCTCTGTTCGGCTTTTGTATAAACGATAGAAAGTGTAGGCTAGAAGACTTGAGACAGCACCGCTAAAGCCTAAAATTTTGTCTACGGTGTCCGCCATGTTTGTTGTGAATGACATCAGTTCATAAAACTGGACTGGATTTGTAATTGAAGAGGAGTAAGTACTTTGAATATTGCTGCAATTGATCTTAACAAAATATGAGTACTTTATTTTGATAAAGATTATCAGTCTGGATTTTTATCAACCTTTTGCCGAATTATTGACCGCAGTATTTTCCTTTGGCTTAGCTGATAAAATTACACCGGGAATTACCACTGAGTAAAAATAGCTAAATCCTTCTCAGCCAATCAAAGCCGATGTGCAGGTCATGGTCGAGGTCAGTCGAGGTCACGTCATCACCAACTGTGTGAAGAGTGAGTGGTGAGAGTGTGTTGAAAGGAGGTCAGTAGAGTGACCGTGTAGTGGAATGACTGGTGTGTTCTGGGCGAACTGCAAACTTCGGTGCCGGTGATATTTTCAACTTCCAGGTGTTTGGTGCTAACAGGTAAAGTTACGGCATCTCTTGTATGATTGCGTTGTCACTACTGTACTTCAGGTGTAAGGTAAGAAGCTGCACAGTATTAACACTGTACTGTATAGATCTACTATGCATTTACTACTACTGACAAAAAAATAGGACATGCGGGAATCAGCTGTACTACATCCACGAGTGAGAAGGAAGTGGATTTGTGATCAGCTGTAGGCCTTTAGTGTGTAAGGAGATGCATTATGCACACTAATGAGCTTAAACCTCTAGATCTACCCTTGAATACAATGCAAATTTGGTTCACATGATCGCAGGTGTAGGCTCAGCTGATCCTCATTCTTAGCATGAGAGGATTAATTTTGAGAGGTTGTGTGCCCTGCTTGAAACAGGAAATTATATAGGCCTAGACATCTAGATCTAGATTCTAGTAATTAAACACGTACTTTTATTTAAGTCTAACCTACTTGTGACGCCAGAGCATGTCATAAGTCCTGCGCTATGTATTGATATGGTTCTGATAACTACCTGTAAGATCATTCATTTCAGAAAATTTTGCCAGTTCTCCCCCCCCCCCCCCTCTCTCTCTCTCTCTCTCTCTCTCTCTCTCTCTCTCTCTCTCTCTCTCTCTCTCTCTCTCTCTCTCTCTCTCTCTTTCTCTCTCTCTCTCCCCCTTCATCTCAACACCCCCACCCCCTTGATAAATTTTATTGGTTTCCTTCTTTTCAGTTTTCAAATTGCTCTCCTGCATTTAAAGGCTAACATATTTGGTATTTCCCTTTTCATTTTCAGATCTGAAACAAATTCAATTTTCTGCGTTAGCAAGAGCCGTGGGACAGTTCCAGAAGCAGACACGATGACGAGCACAGACAACAGTGGCAGGCTGAGGATGCTGACCTACATGTGCCCAGACGTGCCCCTCGAGGTGTTTACACTGCTGCGGGACTGCGTAGAGGAAGCCACGGGGTTGGAAGTCGACTTGATGGTGGAGGACAGATTCAACGGGCCCAGGCAAGACAGGGCCAACCCTTTCTCTTCCGATCTGGCTGATATTGGTGAGTAATGTTAGTTAGCAGAACAGTTTCTGGTTTTTCTCTCTCCTCCGTGGTTCAGTTTATTGTTTTTCTGTTTCCGCCATGGTTCTCTGTAATTGTTTTTTATTAATATGTCAGCATTTTTTAGGCGTGCTATACATTTGGAAAATATGTGACAAAAATATGATGTAGCGTCTTTGCTACACCAAGTCAAACTGATGATTCAAATATCATCCAAGTTGAGACGTGATTACTTGTGGGTGGTTGGGGGGAACCAGTGGCCAGTGGTAGGTCTTACTTCTCGTCTTTCCCGCTGTTTTTTGTCTCCGTCTAATTAAAGTCTGTACTGTGGGTGGTTGGCGGGTGCTGTGGTAGGGTTTGCTCCTTCTTTCCCATAAAAAATTTATCGTCCTTATCTCCTCTTCTTCTTTTTTATGTTTGTTATTCTCTTGTAACACCTATAATCTTCTTGCGCTCATATGACCTTATGCAGTTGCGAGCGCCGTAAAACCTCTACTAAAACTAAAACCAAGTCTGTACTATTTCCCTGCACTAAATCACGATTCTGTTTCTGATTTGATACACGTTTGGTAAATAGGAATCCTATGACTGGAGGATGACTCAGAGCATTTGCAGCACAGACATCTTTGCCCTTGTCATTTTTTAAAAGTATTTTAAAATTATCATATATTTGAGATAGTTAATTGTTTGTCTCGTATCCAAAATAGGGAATGACTTGATTCATGCTTTAGAATTCCAAGGTTTCTGAAGGTGCAACAACAGGAAATATAAAACACAGTCGCTTATAATTTTATCGTTTCAATATTTTCTGAAAGTAAAGATAGCAAAGAGTGTGTAGAGTTCCCCGCAGGTTGTTGGGCACTTCTGGTAGGTCCTGCTTCTCTTCCTTCCTTCTGTTGTGTCTGTCTGGGAGGGTGGATGGAGGGCACTATTGGCAGGACTATAATATAACCTTATTGTGTTGCAAGTGCCGTAAAACACTTACTACCCCCCGAGGCGGTGCCACTGACTGAAGTGTCTTTAGGCCATTCCCAAAAGGGGGACATTTCTCGTTCATGCACAGTAGAATTGTAAATGGGCTGATTCATCAATGTCATGCTCATAACTGTGCCTGATCTACAACAGGGAACTGCTTTTTCTTTCCTAATCCTTACTATTGTCATTTTTCCTCTACTTCTTTTGTATGCTTGTCACACTCTTGGGACGCGCTATTTCCGGGGTGCCTTGATAGTCGAAGCAGACTTTGTGCTGTTTAAGCTAGAGAGGTGAGCAGAGTAAGTCTGATTCCCTGTTAGGACTTCTCTGTTGACATCCACCCCTTGGCACTCATATGATCTCGCAGTGCGAGCGCCGTAAAACCTCTACTAAAACTAATCAACGCTTACTAACACTAAAAAAAACACCAAAAAAAACAAATGGTAATCTCCCTGTCCCAATGTCTCTCTCTCTCCCCCAGTGTATGTCCCAATGTCTGTTGTATGTCCCAATGTCTGTATGTCCCAATCTCTCTCTCTCCCCAGTTTACGTTCACAGCAGCAGTTACCTGAGTCTGCGCGCCGCCCAGCAAGAGAACATGGAGCTGTGTCCCGTAGCGCCGGTGTGCACTCACCCGCTGGTCAACCAGCAGCCCGTCTACTTCTCCGAGGTCATCATACACGCGGGGAACAAGTGAGTAGCTTTCTTTTTGGTGGTTCAAGACTCGTTAGTTCCACTGATAACTTTTTGGTGTTTCAAGGCTCGTTGGTTCACTGAGAGCACTAGCGTCATGACACTCGCGGTTGGAGAAGGTTGGGGTCGCCTAAAGAAAATGTGCACCAAAGTTTGGTGATTTCAAAGCTTTAGTGTCCTTGGAAACTTCAAACTTTCAATTTTTGTGCCTCTAATCAATGGGTTTTTTTTAGTAAAATCCACCCAAAAATGTGTTTTTAGATGGACATAAAATATAAAATATGTGATGTTAAGCCAAAAATAGAAATTATTATATGAATTGCCGAAGGGGTGGGAAAATTGTCATTACCTGTGTGTCAATAAATTTAGTCCCCAGATAATTGTTAACCCTTGTGTATTGACAAATTTAGTCCCCAGATAATTGTTAACCCTTGTGTATTGATAAATCTAGTCCCCACATAACTGTTAACCCTTGTGTATTGATAAATCTAGTCCCCACATAACTGTTAACCCTTGTGTATTGATAGATCTAGTCCCCACATAACTGTTAACCCTTGTACACTCATTGTGTTTGATGATCCAGGGAAAAGTACAAGGAGGTGAAGGATCTGAAGGGCTGCTCCTGGGCCTACAATGACGAACGCTCCCTCAGCGGCAACCTAATTGTGCTCGACTTCTTGAAGAAAAACTTCAGCACCAACGCCTCGTTCTTTGGATCTATCGTTGAGTCTGGTCAGTATCTTTGTGGGTGGTTGGCGGGGGCTCTGGTGTGGTTTGCTTCTTCTTTCCTATGAAACATCTGTCGTCCTTATCTCCCCTTCTTCTTTTTTATGTTTGTTACTCTCTTGTAACACCTCTAATATTCTGGCGCTCATATGACCTTTATGCAGTTGCAAGCGCCGTAAAACCTCTACTAAAACTAAAACTATCTTTGTGGGAGTCTTATGATTATAACCATAGTTTCTTACTATAAATGATGGTTCTCTTTTGATGAGAATATCTAGTTCCTTACTTTATGGTGGTTCACTTGTGGATTATAACCAAAGCTTTCTCACAATCCATAGTTTTCCACTTTACGGTGGTTCACTTGTGGAATCTATATTATATATATATATATATTTCTATAACCCCCAGGGGCAGTGCCACTGACTGTAGTATCTTTAGGCCATTCCCAAAGGGAGGACATTTCTCGTTCAAGTGCAATAGAAAATGGGCTAATTCATGTCATGTTCATAACTGTGCCTGATCTACAACAGGGAACTGCTGCTTTTTCTTTCCTAATCCTTGCTATTGTCATTTTCCTCTACTTCTTTTGTATGTTTGTCACTCTCTTGTGACCTGCTATTTCCGGGGTGCCTTGATAGTTGAAGCAGACCTTGTGCTGTTGAGGCTAGAGAGGTGAGCAGATAAGTCTGATTCCTCATTTGGACTTCTCTGTTGACACCCACCCCTTGGCTCTCATATGACCTTATGCAGTAGCGAGTGCCGTAAAACCCTCTACTATAATAAATAAATTTTTTAAAAATATATGTATATATATATTATATAACCAAAGGGTTCGCACAACACCATAGACCACACATACACTGACATTAATTTTGTAAATAGGTATGTAAATAAGTCTTTGCCATATTTACAAAGATTTCTAGAAATGTCTGTCCGTCTTTTTAATAACGGTGATAGATTTGTTCCTGTAAAGCTTGTTTGCACTAACTTACATGACCGAAATTGAGTCGATAGTGCCGTAAAACACATACTCAGTCAAACATCAATCATAGATCACATGTGATTTTGACCCAAGGTTTAACGGTGTGTGATGGTACACCTTTGTGGACAAGAATGGCTTCTGTATTCTATATATCAGCAATGTTTCTTATGTCACCGCCTGTTGTGATAAAAATATATGACCTTATTGTGTTGCAAGTGCCGTAAAACTCTTACTAAAACTTTTTGAAAACTCTACTAAAACAAAAACAAAACAAGCCCTGCTGTGGCACACAGGAGACCCAAGTTCAGTTCCAGAAGTCTTAATACAAACATTAGCTTGACAAGTCGTTTCAAATTTCCATTTCCTGCTTCTGTGTAATGGGAGACGACCCCAGCCAGTGAGAGAATGTAACAAACAAGGGATCATTGGTGGAAATTTGAAACTACGTTGTATTAACTGCGACACGCGGCTGAACGAAGTGATACTGCTATGTTTCGCGATCAGAATCAAGAGCTTATGAGCTCATGAGCTTATGACATGTTCTATTGTTCATGTGGGTTTTTTTATTAAAAATTTTTTTTTTTTTTACACTATACTCAGACTCGCAGCTGCTAGCAAATAATTACCACTCCCTACACACACACACACACACACACACACACACACACACACACACACACACACACACACACACACACACACACACACCAATACCTTCTGCCCACCTAGTGGCTCGTACACACCAAACATCCGCGAACATCCGCGCTCGTGTGAGAGTAACAACAAACACTAAAAAGAAGGAGGGGAGCTAAGGACGACAGATGTTTGATAGGAAAGAAGGAGGAGAGATCAGGATGACAGATGTTTGATAGGAAAGAAGAAGTGAACCACACCAGAGCAATATATGTGTTTGTAACAATGACTAAACCATGTTTTATTTGTAATAGTATGTTTCTTGAAGTGGATCTCCTTATTTCACTTTGTGGGTGGTTGACGGGTGCTCTGGGGTGGTTTGCTTCTTCTTTCCTATCGAACATCTATCGTCCTTTTCTCCGCTTCAAATTTTTTATGTTTGTTACCTTCTTGTAATGCCAGTTATCTTCTGGCTCTCATATGACCTTATGCAGTTGCGAACGCCGTAAAACCTCTACTAAAACTAAACACCTCTAATCTTCGGCACTTATATGACCTTGTGCAGTTGTGAGTGCTGTAAAACCTCTACTAAAACTAAAGTACTAAACATCTCTAATCTTCGGCACTTATATGACCTTATGCAGTTGTGAGTGCCGTAAAACCTTTTCTAAAACTAAAAAACTTATTTCACTTTCCACCCCAATCCTCAGGCTCTCACCTCAACTCCATTAAGAAAGTTCTGGAACACAGCGTGATCGGCGCGGCGGTCGACTCGACGGTCCTGGCCGGCTACCTGCAGGACCACCAGGAGCACCGCGACAAGATTGTCTCCCTCAAGTCCCTGGGGCCGCTGCCCATCTTCCCGGCGCTCTTCAACTCTCGCCTGTCGGGTTAGTAGGGTCAGATTGTGGGGATAGTGCTGTAAAACGGGAAAACATGTACTCAAACAAACAAACAAGCAAACTGTCTGGGGAGTGGGTGAGTGGATTGTGGAAGGTTTCATGTCTGTCTCTGGCCTGTGTCTGGGGAAAGAGGTTTTCTCTTTGTCTTTCTCTCTGTCTGTCTCTCTCTCTCTCTCTCTCTCTCTCTCCCTCTCCCTCTCCCTCTCTCTCTCTCTCTCTCTTTCTCTCTCTCTCTCTGTCTCTCTCTCTATCTCTCTCTCTCTCTCTCTCTGTCTCTCTCTATATCTCTCTCTGTCTCTCTCTCTCTCTCTTTCTCTCTCTCTCTCTCTCTCTCTCTCTCTCTCTCTCTCTCTCTCTCTCTCTCTCTCTCTCTCTATCTCTGTCTTTCTCTACTAAAACTAAAACTGACCCCAATTTCCTTTCCCTGTCCTCAGGCGCAACAAAGCAGAAGATCGTGGACAAGTTTCTGTCTCTGTCTGGCTCGGCCACGTGGTCGGAACGTCTGGCGGGGCTCGGGATCTCTGGGTTCGCGCAGGTGGACTCGAACCTGTACTCTCTTGAGGAGGACGTGGCGGAGTACACGCAGGGCATGAAGATGAACACCGCCTACTACTGAACCGTCCCGCACGGTGGGAGGTAGCCTACTTTCGTTTCCAGGTGAAGGCTGCCGACAACGGAATGCTCTGGAACTGGGATCTCTTGTTTGTTTTCTTCCAGTCCAATTACAGAACAATCTAGATAGAATTTTGGGGTTTATTTACTTTCGAGATATACACCAACTACAACGAAACTCTCTAGTACAAGATTTTGGTTTATCTATTCTCTAGATGAGTGCTGCTTGATTTTGAGAGATATATATGTATTTTGAGATATAATATATATGTATTTTCAAGATGAACACTGCCTCCAACTGAACTCTCTAGAATTATGGGACCTATTTCTGCTCAAGATGATAAGCTCCAGCTATTGCTGAACTTTCTAGAATGATCCAGAAGCTTGGGACTTCTAATGTTGCTTGTTATATTTGAGAACAATGTTGCCCTTGTTGATGAACGGCTTACTTAACTAAAGGAAATGAGTGTTATTGTCATACACAGTCGTTTTATTTACCAAAGGTTTACAAAAGTAATTAGTAGTAAAGTATTATACTTTCTGCCTCGACTCGGTAAAACTCTTCCTCTTCAGTTTGTATACATGTCTATATTGAGCCCGAGGTATGGCTATTTTCATCTAGGTGATGTCTAACTTGTTTGAAAAGATATTGTGTTTTGTTCGTTTAGGGCATTTTTGTTGTTGTTTGGTTTTTTTGCTGGTTTTTTTATTTTTTATTAATAATTTGATGCAGATGAAGTGTTTTAGCAAAGCTTGTGGCAGTTTTGTTGGTGTGAGAAAAAATTTGATAGCGAGTACTGTTCGGGGTTCAATAACATTAATTAAATATGCATTTATTCCTTTTTGAGCTGTGGTGAAGTTGAGAGGACGGTGCAAGACGTGGTAAATAATGAGAAATACCTATATTATAATATGATAATAGTAATAGCAAAAATTGTAATATTATATTATAATATTATGTTATTATATTGTCATTGTAGAAATGTTTTGATACCAGATACTGGGAAATAGTTTCTGGTACTATAGAGCTTTGGATGCTGAGATAATTAATTTTGATAAAGAACTTTTACTTGAAAAGCGTGCATGTGTGTGTGTGCGTGCGTGCACGTGTGTGTGTGCGTGCGTGCACGTGTGTGTGTGTGTGTGTGTGTGCGTGCACGTGTGTGTGTATGTGCGTGCGTGCACGTGTGTGTGTGTGTGCGTGCACGTGTGTGTGTGTGCATGCACGTGTGTGTGTGTGTCTTATATAACTAGGTATTGACACTTTATGTGTCGATCAATTGTTTACGCAGTTGAGTTTTCCTTTGATGTAGATGTGTTCTGTGTATGCCTTCTTACTTCTGCACCATGCAAGTGTGGATTATTTACCATATATATATCACGGGTGTCTTTAGAATCTTCTTACACGGACTTTCCTATGATTTGTATAAAATACTGGGTTTTTTCTTCTTGAATTACGATTTCCTCAGCTCTTATGGCAAATAGCGACGCTACTGCTGGTTCCTACTTCTTCATTTTCTCTCTCTTGTTTCTGTCTGTTGGGTTTTCTTTATTTTTATTTTCTCCCAGCACTAAAAGAGCGTTTTCATCGTGTCAGTGTGCTCGTTTCTACTCTAATAAGAGAGGTACAGACCTCTGATGAGTTCTTTGTGGAAAAGATCTTTGCCACCGCTGAGTTTGTGAGAAGTTTGTCCGGTGTGATGAAAGAAATGGCAGCTTTTCTCAACATTTCTGATGTTTGATGTTTGTCGTGGACCAATTCTCTACACCTGTGCCATCATACAATGTGATGTGGGGGGGGGGTTGGAAGGGGTTGTTTTGTTTTGGGTTTTTTTCTTTATAAAAATCATTCACTGGCATTGCACCCGGTATGTAGGATGTTTAGTTTATATGTATAATATACATCTTGACCAGAGCTATAATTTTACTGTCAGCTTCCATTGAGCTTCTGCTTTGCTTGTTCTCTTGGTGAAAAATGTTACTTTATGTTGGTATATATATTCAGTACTGGTACTGTTACTCTATGTTTGTGTATTCAGTACTGGTACTCTATGTTTGTGTATTCAGTACTGGTACTGTTACTCTATCTTTGTATATTCAGTACTGTTACAGTTTGTGTATTCAGTACTGTTACTGTTACTCTATGTTTGTGTATTCAGTACTGGTACTCTATGTTTGTGTATTCAGTACTGTTACTGTTACTCTATGTTTGTATATTCAGTATTGTTACTGTTACTCTATGTTTGTGTATTCAGTACTGTTACTCTATGTTTGTATATTCAGTACTGTTACTGTTTGTATATTTAGTACTGTTACTGTTTGTATATTCAGTACTGTTACTGTTACTCTATGTTTGTGTATTCAGTACTGTTACTCTGTTTGTATTCAGTACTGTTACTCTGTCATAACACAATTTCCTGAGTCATTTTTTACCTCCCGGGGCGGTGCCACTGACTGAAGTGTCTTTAGGCCATTCCCAAAGGGGGGATGTTAACATGTTCCTATGTACAGTAGAATTGAAAATGGGCTGATTCGACGATATCATGCTCATAACTGTGCCTGAACTGCAACAGGGAACTGCTGCTTTTTCGTTCCTAATCCTTACTGTCGTCATTTTTTTCCTCTAGTTCTTTTGTATGTTTGTCACTCTCTTGTGACCCGCTATTTCAGGGGTGCCTTGATAGTCGAAGCAGACTTTGTGTTGTTGAAGCTAGAGAGGTGAGCAGAGTACCTGAGTGGTATTTCTTTGATTTTTCAGTCGATTTTCCCAGTGCTGTTACTTACTTGACACATATATATATATATATATCTTGTGTTTTTTCAATCACATTGATGTATTCTCTCAGTCTTTCTTTTTTTTGTTTGTAAACTGTGTGTCCTTGTGGTGAAATCAGGGGCTTGGCAAAATAATGACATCAAAGAAACAGTAAATTTTCCACCCATTTTATTGAGATTTTTTTTATACCTCTGATGCTAGGTTCCCGTCCCCCCACCTTCAATCTTTAATGTCTCGACTTCAATTTTAGATAAATAAATATTTATGTTGGGGGTTTTTTCAAATCATAAGCAAAGAGAAATGAACAACATACTTTAAGATGATATGAATGATTCCATATGCCCCAAAAATGAATAAGCGCCTGATTCCAAGTGCCATGACACACATATGCTCTTTACCCAAGGTGACACGTCTTTCCTGCTTCATTGGCATTCCCTGGTGTCTGTTGAGTTGTACTTTCCTGTACCGGTACTTATGTTGTCTTTTGTTCTATTAGTAGAGTTTTTGTTTGCACAGCAAAATTTATTTTTATGCACTTCCTTATTTAGAATTTATTTGGATCTCTTCGTTGAATTGCGCGCCAGGCGTTTTTCAAATCTGGCAACTAGATCTCTGTTCTGTCAAGCTGCAGTTTCTATTTTAAGATTCCCCTTACTTTTATCTTACGTTTATCTTACTTTTTCTTTTGTCTGGCATACTTGAATTTGTGTGTGTTCACATATTCTGTATAATTGTGACATCTGTTATGCTTCTGAATTGTGACACGTGTGTTTCTGAATTGTAACAAGTGTGTAATATTTTTTAATTGTGGCGTATGGTCACTTTTAAGCACAAGGGGGCTATCCCGAAAAAAGCTGTTTTGAGAAAATCGAAGGTAAAGTTTTTGCCCCTTGTTCAGTTTCTTTAAAAGACAAGGAGAGTTTTCTCTATAACCAAACAAATATACACACCAATGAAACTAAATTTCTCCTATAGGTAGGGCAATGCCCACTTTTGGTGTAGGTCAAGATTTCTGGAAACCCCCGCAATCTGGGTTAGCCCACTTTTCCTTAAAAGCGACCGTATAACGTCTATGATGTTTCTGAATCATGGCACGTATAACGTCTATGATGTTTCTGAATCGTGGCACGTATAACGTCTATGATGTTTCTGAATCGTGGCACGTATAACGTCTATGATGTTTCTGAATCGTGGCACGTATAACGTCTATGAACTGTGATGTGTTCCCTGCCCTGTCTTTTGACTTGTATCCTGCAGGTCGTGGAGTGGGACGTAACATTTGAATGAGATGAAACAACGACATTCCACTGTGTGTGTGTGTGTGTGTTTGTGAGCTCACCCTCACCGTCAGTGGCAGTGTGTGCTGACTCACTGTGAGCCTGATGGTCCTACGTTGGTTTTTGTGTGTGTACATCTTGTGCTGTTTTTTGGGGTTTTTTGTTTTTTTTTTAATGTTTGTGTATATTTTTGTGGGACCAGTTTGGACTGAGATGTTCACAGACCTGGTGTGGGTGGTTGGTGGGTGCTCTGGTGTGGTTTGCTCCTTCTTTTCTATCAAACGAACACCTATCGTCTTTATCTCCCCTCCTTCTTTTTTATGTTTGTTACTCTCTTGTAACACCTCTAATCTTCGGCACTTATATGACCTTATTGTGTTACAATTGCTGTAAAACTCTTACTAAAACTAAAACTTCAATTTTCCCATCATGATGCGGCGTATGTCACTCGTAGATCTGAGTGTATCTGTCACTTGACGTTGTTGTTGACGGCTCACATATCTGTCCCCGCGGTTTTATGCAAAAAAAATTCTGAAATTATGCAAACTGAGCCCAAAAATGTGAAATTATGCGATGCTGTCAATTTTCACAAAGAATGATAACGGAAAATAAAGAACAAATTATGCGAAAAATGATCCAATTTTGCTAAATTATGCGGGGTGGACAAAACACCAGGGACAGACAGACAGACATATTGACAACATTACCTCCTGGACACTTGTGCCTTGTTCTCAGCGTGGCATATTTTGTTATGAGTCATACATGTATATATTATATATATATAGGCCTATTATATGTATTATACACTAGAGACTGCTTCCACCCCGAGTCATTTGTGTTGTTTTTAGATTGAGATTCATCCCTCTTGCCTTCATGAAAGTACATGTGTGGGTGGTTGGCGGGTGCTCCTGTGTGGTTTGCTCCTTCTTTTCTATTGAACATCTATTGTCCTTATCTCCCCTCTTTCTTTTTTATGTTTGTTACTCTCTTGTAACACCTCTAATCTTCTGGCGCTCATATGACCTTATGCAGTTTCAAGCGCCGTAAAACCTCTACTAAAACTAAAGTACATGTATAATACGTGGGTGGTTGGCGGGTGCTCTGGTGTGGCGTGGCTTGCTCCTTCTTCCTTATTAATTTAGTTCATCCGTCGTCCTTATCTCCCCTCCTTTTTTTTGTGTTTGTTACTCTCTTGTATTACTTGAAACACCTCTAATCTGCGACACTTATATTTATATGACCTTATTGTGTTGCAAGTGCCGTAAAACTCTTACTAAAACTGAAACCAGTTCTCTCGGTTACTATTACATAAGTTATTATATATATATATATATATAGGTCAATTTTTAAAAAATTTTTTTTGGGTACTCCAAGTCTTTGATTTAGTTTTAGAAGTTCAACAGTGCATTTAATTTTTCTGGGCATTTTGGACATTTTTGTTGTTGTTGTTATAGTTATGTTATTACCCTGAGCTGCACTGTAGTAGTGTATGCGAACTGTTCATTACTGCACATTATGTCCCTTGATTATGACCCCTCTTGTGTGTTGATGTTCACATGATCAATAAATAGTTGTGGGTGGTTGGAGGGTGCTCTGGTGTGGCGTGGCTTGCTCGTCCTGATCTCCCCTCCTTCTATTTTGTGTTTGTTACTTTCTTGTAACACCTCTAATTTTCGGCACTTATATGACCTTATTGTGTTGCAAGTGCCGTAAAACTTGCGGAAACTAAAAGTAAACTGATAAATGTGGGCTACTTCTGTATACACATCTACATAGTATTAAATCTATGCACACGGGTAGGAGGGATCAAACAAAATGGCTGCCCTCGTTAGCT